CCAATCACATGGCGGCAACTCAGTGCATTTAGGCATGTAGACATGGTCAAGACAATCTCCTGCAGTTCAAACCGAGCATCGGTATGGGGAAGAAAGGTGATTTGAGTGGCTTTGAACGTGGCATGGTTGTTGGTGCCAGAAGGGCTGGTCTGAGTATTTCAGAAACTGATCTACTGGGATTTTCACGCACAACTATATCTAGGGTTTACAGAGAATGGTCCGAAAAAGAAAAAATATCCAGTGAGCGGCAGTTCTGTGGGCGGAAATGCCTTGTTGATGCCAGAGGTCAGAGGAGAATGGCCAGACTGGTTCGAGCTGATACAGAGGCAACAGTGACTCAAATAACCACCCAACAACCAAGGTAGGCAGAAGAGCATCTCTGAACGCACAGTACGTCGAACTTTGAGGCAGATGGGCTACAGCAGCAGAAGACCACGCCGGGTGCCACTCCTCTCAGCTAAGAACAGGAAACTGAGGCTACAATTTGCACAAGCTCATCGAAATTGGACAATAGAAGATTGGAAAAACGTTGCCTGGTCTGATGAGTCTCGATTTCTGCTGCGACATTCCGATGGTAGGGTCAGAATTTGGCGTCAACAACATGAAAGCATGGATCCATCCTGCCTTGTATCAACAGGTTCAGGTTGGTGGTGGTGGTGTAATGGTGTGGGGAATATTTTCTTGGCACTCTTTGGGCCCCTTGGTACCAATTGAGCATCGTTGCAACGCCACAGCCTACCTGAGTATTGTTGCTGACCGTGTCCATCCCTTTATGACCACAATGTACCGAACTTCTAATGGCTACTTTCAGCAGGATAATGCGCCATGTCATAAAGCTGGAATCATCTCAGACTGGTTTCTTGAACATGACAATGAGTTCACTGCACTCAAATGGCCTCCACAGTCACCAGATCTCAATCCAATAGAGCATCTTTGGGATGTGGTGGAACGGGAGATTCGCATCATGGATGTGCAGCCGACAAATCTGCGCCAACTGTGTGATGCCATCATGTCAATATGGACCAAACTCTCAGGAATGCTTCCAGCACCTTGTTGAATCTATGCCACGAAGAATTGAGGCATTTCTGAAGGCAAAAGGGGGTCCAACCCGTTACGAGCACGGTGTACCTAATAAAGTGGCCGGTGAGTGTATATTTTAAATGTCTATGCCACGAAGAATTGAGGCATTTCTGAAGGCAAAAGGGGGTCCAACCCGTTACGAGCACGGTGAACCTAATGAAGAGGCCGGTGAGTGTATATTGTAAATATCAGTACTTTAGCTTGAGAATCGATACTTGAAATTGAACACTCTGGATGAAATATTGATATTTTGGCATCAATCGGCCCTTCCCTTCTCATCATATGACCACTCCACTACTTGGCTGCACTTACAACACGCTTCAATGCTTAAAGTTTCATTTTACGTGCTTATAATTGTGGCACAAATCTCTCAGCATACTGTAGCCACTGACAACAGCACGAAGAATGCTGGAGTCAGGGATTTCTTCCTGATTTTTTTAAAAGCAAATATTTGATCAAATGCCTTTTGTATTGAAATTGATCATGTCTCGATCGGCATACATACTGATTGTGATTTATCACCCAGGCCTTTGTGACTGTGTGAAGTGTTGAGGTCACTTATTTGTCTGTTCTCCACACAAGGCTCACAGTACAGGAGGCCATCTATTTCAGAAGGTAGATACCATATTTTCACGACCATAAGGCGCAATTTAAACTTTTCTCCAGAATGGACGTGGCGCCTAATGTGACAGCGCCTTGTGTATGCACCGAGTTCCAAAATCTGTGAGTGCTGTTGTATGACTATGATGAGCACCGCGCTTGACTGACTGTTGTTCTGCCAACACGCTGCTTGTATAGGGAAAAGGGGGATGTAACCGAGGACATCATGTGGAAATTAAAGTGGGAAGTTTGGGCGTGAAAGAGGATGCTAAAGGCATGCCTCCAGTAGATGTATATAGTGCTAAACAACATCAATTTGGCAAAAATGGCACAGACGAAGAGACACGCTTACGAATCCCAGTATAAACTGCAAGCTATCAGTTACGTGGAAGACCATGGGAATCGAGTAGCCACGAGAAATTTCAAGATCAACTAATACATGGTGCTTGGTGCTTTCGTTTTATGAAACGGCGCCATCTATCCATCCGGGCAAGGACGACCGTAGCGCAGCAAAATCTGGCGGATTACAAGGAAAAGCTGGGCAACTTCTGCTGCGACTGCAGTAAAAAGTGTAATGTTCTGCGTTGCATTAAATAAAGACGCTTTCTTCAAGATATGAATCCTTTATTCTGCCGCTTTGCCGGCCTCACTTGGCTTCCACTATCGACTGGTCTCTCAGCCGACCCCTACATACCTAGCTTACCCGCTTGGGCAACGGCAAGTGATGAGGGACAAGCATACTTTGCATCTTGTAATACAACAAAAGGATTGCTGACAAATTCATCCAGCTCAATCACATCACCAACCTGGACAAGGTGCCACTCACTTTCGACATCCCGGTGAACTACACTTCAGAGAATAAGGGGACCAACACGGTAGCAATAAGCACAACAGGGCATTTGAAGTCAGCTTTTACCGTTGTGATTAGTTGCCGTGTTAATGGACAGAAACTGGCAAGATGCTGCCTAAAAGAAAAGTTTCCCCCTGGAATCATCGTTAAGGCCAATCGAAAGAGCTGGATGGCTGAGGAGAAAACGAGAGAGTAGCTGAGTGAGCTGTACGGAAAGAGACCGGATGTTTTTTTCCCATGTGCCACCGTCCCTTTTGATCTGTGACTCCATCTCAGAGCTGTTGTGAAAAAATAAGTGCAGCAAATAAACTCTGATCTTGCTATCATTCCGGGAAGCTTGATGAAGAAACTTCACCCACTGGACATCGGTATAAACAGGGAGTTCAAAGTCAAGTTACGAGCATCGTGAGAGCAATGGCAAACACAATTTTACTAAGACTGGCAGAGTTATGGCTAACATGTCTGCTTGTACTGTTGTTCGAGCTTTCACAAAAGTCGGCATAATTTCTGAGGAGCCACACAGCAACGTGATTGACTCTGACAATGATGCGACGGGACCGTGTGTGTTGGATGGAGAATTTGCCCAGATGTTCATTTCGGATACAGAAGATGAGGACTTTGACGGATTTGTTGATGAGGATTGATCAAAAAAATAATGTGAGCACATTGTCAAATACTTCAATTAAATACAACCGAACTCAGTTTTGCTTCGGCTGTCTTGCTAAACACACATGCTGGCAGTGCATGCATGCTACCATATTTTTTTAAGCGAGCGTACGTTTTTCCATGTCTGCGTCCAATATTAAAATGGGTATTGTGCATGTCTTAAATACAGAAATAGCACCCGTAACTGACACTGCTCATCTTAATACGGAGCACCGTATGGTTGTGAAAATACAGTAGATACAACAGCAATGAATCTTTGAATCTTCTTGATTTTTTTTGCCTCAAAGTCATCTAGAGACATCTTTCTGCAGTTCTTTTTCTCTCAGGGAGGATGATACTCTTGTAGACTCTTGTGCGTTTTAATAAACGTTGAACACAGCTGATATTGTTTACTGCAATATCATCTTATTCTATAGCTTTTGTTTGCTGAAAAATATGAGAAAATGACCTAGAAATAAATGATTGCAGAACACTGACGGAAAAAAATCGAATTGGATTCTCCCACATCGTTCAAACCTATTAAAAATGCCAATAAAACGTTCAGAGTGGGGCTAATGCAAAACCTTATGACAACAAACCCCCCTGCCTCAAAATGCTCGGCATCAGCAAGAATCCAATCAAAATTTGATCTAACGGAGTAAAAGACCTGATTCAGGCCGTATATGTTAAGTTTGTATCACACAACACGCCCATATACCAAATAACAATAACATGATTAGTCAGCATGTATTGACGAAGTGTTTCGACTACTGACGAGTGACTGACGCTGGGGCTCTGCTGACAGATTAAGACAATCCAAAAAAAGCAACAAACAACAAAATTTCAGAGACACTTGATGTCTCGTTTCAAATGGAGACATACAACAATTAAACGAAACATAACCTGCAATTAAACATTTCCATTACTTGTAAACAAATAAATTAAAATCGTTTACAGTATGAGCTTTAAATTAGCTTGGATTGCAGACTTACCTCATACTGAATATACTGTTTTCTCCATTCCGGGGTGATGTGAGCCGAAAGATGCTCTGTGAATTTCATGTTAGATGTTGACCCCCACAGGTCTCGTTCGCTGATTGACTAACTGAAAGAAAATCCCACTAGGACAAACGACACATGGCTAACTTCAAATTATGTACGTCTAATCTTGACGCCAGTGACCCATTATGTTTTCACGGTAGGATAGCTGTCGACTCCGAATTTCGCATTTTTTCGCGAAAAATTATTGTATAGCCTTCTCTAAACCAGCTATGTTAAGATTCAACCTAGCGCGAATATGTCGCAGAAGACGCGGAGTTTAATCATATCATGATGATGTGCAACGACTTCTTCGCGTGCTGATGCTTCTTCGACTGTTACTGCTGCTGTTTCTTCTTCTTCTTCTTCTTCTTCTTCTTCTTCTTCTCTTCTTTTTCTTCTTCTGCAGCTGTTGCGTTTTTTTCCACTTTTTAATGGTCCATTACCGCCACCAACTGAAATGGAGTGTGGAAACTGATTTCGCTCAGACTAATGCTGCATTTGGGGAACGTGGGAAGTCGGACTGTTCTAGATTGTTGTCAACCTATACTAACGCAGTAGTGAAGTCAATTACAGCACATATTTGTTTGAAAATCACTTCTTAGGCTCTAAATATAACACAACGGAAAACAGTAAGAACCAGAGGCGATTGCTCTAAGACTGCAAGGGAAGCTCAGCTTCCCCTAAAATGTCAAAAAATAAGTGATATTTTTTGAAATATATGTGTGTACATACAATTGTGTGTACATGTCATTGACTAAATATGCGCTACAACGCGCTCAACTTTTGTTCCGAATCAGCTTGTTAATACTGGTTACGACGCGACTCTTCTCATTCATTCCTGCAGCTTCACTGTGCTTTAAACTGTGTGGACGCTGAGTGTCTGCAGCGCGGACGCTGCGAGTCTCGAGGGTGGTCCCAATGCATTGAAACGAGACGAGTCATTTGATAAATGCTGGTTTTGTCCTGCCCATCGGACGCTGAGCGTCTCTGGGAGTCTATGGACAGTGGGCGTTTATGGGCTGGCCCGGACACTGAGCTTGTCTGCATGATGATTGGATGATCTGTCTGAGTCTGAATCTCTTTTGATTGACAGCGAAGTGAGCCAATCACCGATCTTTTAGTGTAGGCATCCATGGGAGCATTTTTCAATTCTCATTCTGTTCTGAGTTGAACGGGAGACTTTTTCTAATGATCTTAGCGACACTGTCTTTGTTGAAAACAACTAGCGACAAATTAATCTTTTATTTCTGGTGGGTTTTATTGTAGTCGCTTGTGTTCGCAGACTGACATATAACACCACAGGGTCACAGATCATTTTCTTGAAAAGGAACGGAGAGTAGAATTCACGTATAAATAAACTGACACATTTTATGATGTAGCCTGAAATTGAGCTTCCCCTCCTTGACAGACCAGCATCCGGTACACACATATATTTGATCACTTATTTTTTGACATTTTGGGAGAAGCTGAGCTTCCCTTGCAGTCTTAGAGCAATCGCCTCTGATATATATATATATTTATATATATATGTGTGTGTGTGTGTGTGTGTGTGTGTGTGTGTGTGTGTGTGTGTGTGTGTGTGTGTGCATGCATGTATGTATATGTTGAATTTTTGATGTTTTAATTGCACTTTTTTGTACTTAATTACATTTTTTCAAGTATGAGAAGTGCTATATAAGAGTGGCCTGGTGGCCGAGTGGTTAGCGCATCGGCCTCACAGTGCAGTGGTGCAGTGTTTGATTCCTGTGTGGAGTGTGCATGTTCTCCACGTGCCTGCGTGGGTTTTTTCCGGCCACTCCGGTTTCCTCACACATTTCAAAAACATGCGTGGCAGGTTAATGGAACATTCTAAATTGTCCCAAAATGTCTGTGTGTGCAGGAATGGTTGTTCGTTTATGTGTGCCCTGCGTTTGGCTGGCAACCAGTTCAGGATGTCCCCCACCTACTGCCCCAAGACAGCTGGGATAGACTCCAGCATGCCCCGCGACCCTTGTGAGGATGAGCGGATCAGAAAATGGATGGATGAATGGAAATGCTATTTAAATAATGTTTGATTGCTTGTTCTGTTACTGGACTTCTTCGCCCATCATGCATTCTCGATAACAAACACCATGTTCAAACATAATGGTGTCCATATATACACTTGGCAACAGGACACCCTAGGCCACAGTTTAATGATCGTACTTTTTAGTCGTGTTGTCAGATTTGTGGCCGGATGTTTTGGATACTCGGGTGAAGAGAGGGGCAGAGCTGTCGACTGATCACGACCTGGTGGTGTGTTGACTCCGACGGTGGAGGAAGATGCTGGTCAGTCCTGGTAGGCCCAAATGTATTGTGAGGGTTTGCTGGGAACGCCTGGCAGAATCCTGTGCCAGAAAGAGTTTCAACTCCCACCACCCGCACCACTTTGCCCACGTCCTGGGGAAGCAGGGGAGATAGAGTCCGAGTGGACTCTGTTTCATGCCATCATTCTTAAGGCGGCTGATCGGAGCTGTGGCCGCAAGGTAGTCGGTGCCTGTCGTGGCAGCAATCTCTGAACCCGCTGGTGGATACCAGTGGTAAGGAACGCTGTCAAGCTGAACAAAGAGTCTTATTAGGACTTTTTGGTGTATGGGACTCTGGAGGTAGCTGATCGGTATCGGCTGGCCAACCAGAATACGGCTTCAGCAGTTGCTGAAGCAAAAACCCAGGTGTGGGAGGAGTTCGGAGAGGCCATGAAAAACGACTTCCGGACGGTTTCGAGGAAATTTTGGTCCACCATTCGGCATCTCAGGAGAGGGAAGCAGTGAACCAGAAACAATGTGTATAGTGAAGATGGGGCACTGCTGACCTCGAATCGGGACGTTATGAGTCGGTGGGGAGAATACTTTGAACACCTCAATTTCACCAAAACGTTTTTCATTGAGGAAACACAGCCTGGAGACTCTGAGGTGGACTCTCCTATCTCTGGGGCAGGAGAAACTGAGGTGGTCAAAAAGCTCCTTGGTGGCAACGCCCCTGGGGTAAACGAGATCCGTTCAAAGTTCCTTAAGGCTCTGGATGTTGTGGGGCTGTCCTGGTTGACACATCTCTCCAACTATGCGTGGACATCAGGGACAGTGCCTCTGGATTGGCAGACCAGGGTGGTGGTCCTTCCTTTCAAGAAGGGGAACCAGAAGGTGTGTTCCAATTCCAGAAGAATCACACACACAGGAATGCTCATCATACACCTGTTTGGAACAGCCCATATGTGAACAAGCAAACTGGAAACAGTTGGGTGCCATGATTAGGTTTTGCTCAGTCATTCACAACAAAGATGGGGCGAAGTTCGTCTCTTTGTGAATAATTGCGTGAAGAAATAATCGAACAGTTTAGGGACAATGTACCTCAACATACAATTGCAAAGACTGAATACACTACACTTTCGCGAGGGACACCACTTTCTACAAAAAAAAAAAAAAAAACCTCAG